ATTATCTGGTTGCAGTGCGCTGATTTTTTTTTTTTAAATAAAAGAGAAGGTTGCAGCACGGTTCCGCGGAATAAAGCGGATCCCACGGATGTGTTTCTTCGCGTCCCAATTAACCATGGACGCGACCGAACCGTGCATTCGACTGCGTGCGATTAAGTAATTGCCAGCGATAAGAAATTAGCATGGAACGGGCATTACGGTGCCCGATCCAGCCAGCAAAGTTAATCTTTAATTTATGCTAACCGTTATTACCTGGCCGACTAGCCTTTAATACAGCTCACGCAAAACCGTTCGCGAAATTGTTTCCCGGACGAAAGGGATAATGCAACTGGCCGGAAGATAACGCGGCGATATACGCCGCATGAAAAGTGCTTAATAACACGTCGAAAGAGAGATCGACTTTGACAAACCGATGGTCACGGCTCTACCGGACGATCCACAAAGCGTGTCGAATAACTTTGGTAACGAATTCGACCCTGAATCGATCGAAGTCTCTTTAAATAAGTGTACACCGATTAAGAGTTGAACACATCATCGTATGCTTAACAGAGCATGAGCTTGATGCATACCTTCATAATAAAAATACTATCTTATATCTGAAACCCTGTTGAATGCTTTATGATCAATTTGATTCGTTATTTAAAAGTTCGATGAGAGTTTTTCTGTTTGTATAGACAGTACTTCGAACGATTGTCTGCTAGCTCTGCCAATCGACGCTTCGTGTACAATCTTAACTAACTATAAACGCTTTCGTACTATTATATTGTTATATGGCTCGATGATAAGACGTTAGATAGCCGTGTCGGAACGCAAGGTGAACATTTTAAACTGTTCACTGCGGAGGGAAAGAAACAACTGTTGTAACGTAAAACACCTGTCGCTGGAAAACGAGGTAAGATAAATCATTCCACGAACTTTTCTTTATTATTTCCCGGCTACGCGTCGTTGAAGATACGAACACGTCTTATGAAACACCCTGCACGAGCAACAGACAGTTTACTCAAACGATCGAGAGCCGAAAATTGCTGGCAATATCGATCGTCCAATAACGAACAAATTGGTCAAAGCTCGGAGCAAATCGATCGTCGACGAAATTACGTTTTTCGCCTTGGTTTCTCCCTGCACTTTCGTACAATGTGGAACCACGTGCAGCACCGTCCATAATTATTCGAATTACAGTACTTACGCGAAACTTGTACTTGTTATTTTTAACCTTTCGTATTTTAAACCATGGATCGATTAATAAATTGGGGATCTATGAATGCAATAAAGAGCACGATGTTTATATAAATAACATCAATTCGTTTAATTTATGCGTGTAGGCGTGAACTCCATCTCGCGATTGTCCCTTATCGCTCTCGCTAATGAATTCAAAGTTTCAACAGATTATTTTCACAATTATCTTTGGGACCCCTAGCCTGTCTCCCACGCGTTCATTATTCCGATAACGTTTCTCGGTTATCGCTCGTCTATTCCGTTCCAATACCACAAACAGTTTCCGCAATCTGGATGGAACTTCACCGACACTTGACCCATTATTAACGCACGAAGTTTATCAAGGAGCATACGACTGTTCCGAGAGATAAGTACGAGAAAGACTCGGATAACGAATTCCAGAGCGGACAGGCCCCCCAATAGGAAAATTAGCGAGTTCATTTCTAAGATAAAACGCTGAAATCGACGCTGAACACAACAATATTGTATCTGGTAACTCTAAGAGAGTTTTATAATTTTGTACGTCAGCGTGGATCATCGAGGAGCTTTGGAGTCCGTCTAAATCCGAGCTTCGAGATCCGCTGGAAGAACAGAATGTCACTGTACATGATCCGGTAGAGCGATTCTCGCGATACCGTAAACCGTGTCGAATCCGTCTACTTGTAATCGCTCGGGACGTCGAAAGATTTCCGCGGGCCGGTGCCCCGTCCGAAGAAAACACTTTCAAATATCTGGGAAATTTCCGGGACGCGGCCACGGGGCTCCTGAATTCCCAAATCTGAAGAGAGCTCCTAGGAGAGGCATATTTCCACGGGTATTCCGGTCGAACGATTCGACCGAATAATTTCAAGGTATATTGGCGAACGTCCGGGAACGATCTTGTTTATCCATATCGAGGGCGAATTGAAAGTGATAGAAAGGAAAGAAAGACCGAGGATGTGGGCGGTAGGATGAGAGAGGGCTATCGTCGAGGATTAGGTCCGTTCGACCACGGTCCCTGCCACGACGCAAAGGAAAATATTGGCGGCGGGGAAGCCTGTATACGTCAACAAAAGCGACAGCAGACTGCCGATCGACTTTCAGAGCTGTTTCCGTGCAAGCTCCGCGAAGGCCCCTTTGGGAAGCGGAGTGCACTCGAACGTCGATCTCTCTTTCGATTTATTCTATCTCGAAATGTATATGATATAGGTACCACGCCCCCCTCCGCGCCTAAAACCCGTCGATATGCTCCAGAGTCGATCAGAATCGAACGCTGGATGCTCGAGTCTTCGTTGCAAAAGAATTTCTTTTGAAATCGCCAATGCTTTGCCGAATTTTCAATTATTTTAAATGATATGCAACAAACTCACCCTTCCTCAACGCGGAGGAAGATCCTCATGGACACCCTCTGCTGTGGGGGCGGCACAGGGTAGCGTCGGACTATTACCGACTAAAAACCACTAGCTGCTTCGACGGCATTTAGAGGGGGCCCTAGGGATCATCGTTGACTTATATCTGGCACCCCCTCTGTACGTCCACTCTCGAAACTGAATCCACCCTGAAAATAGAACCGCGATTATTAGTTTAAATAATTTTTTTTATTTGGACGCGATTTATATTGTACGAGTAAAATTAATGCAAGCATCGTTGTTTACCTTTTCGTTCGTTTTGTCCAGATACGAATTTTGCACGTCCGCGATAGCTGCCTCGTATTTTTTTTTTCTCTTTTCCGCCAAATGAACTGTAGGCGTTCATCGATTGTCCACGTTGCCATTGTAACGTTCCTCGATTTCAGATAAGGGGATTCCGAGAAAAATTCAGCCGATTCAACCGCGGCTCGTTACGGTTTCTCAAAACGCGTCTCCCGGCCTCATTGTTCTCGGTCGTTTTGTTATCGTTCGACAAAGCCGAAGTGAAATCAAAGAGGCATAAGTGAATAAACGTTCGCGCAAAACAGAAATGACAAGCAGGAAACATTTACGATCGCGGACGGAATGAAATTTCCATGGCACGAGCCGATGCGAGCAACAAAGGAGAACGTGAGTAATCGGTGAGATAATGCCGCGGAAAATTTGGAGGAAAATTCCCCGACTTCGCCGAGCCCTCGTCGAGAACGTATGTATCTCTCTGCACAAAACAATTGATCGATACGAGCGGCATCCAAAGGGAAGAGGATCCATTGAAGGCTCTAACATTGAAACGTTTTGAAAGAGAAATAATGGGTCTAGTCGCGGCTTATAACGAGGACAAAACAGACAATTGTCTCTGATATCGAAGGCACCGGGACGTTCAACAAAATAAGAAATATCATATTCAATTTCACCGTCACGATACATTTTATAAATGTACATTTGCAAGATCGTAATTAAAATGGTTACTTTTAAAAATCGCGTAAGGGGTCTATTACTTTTAAACGACTCTGTAATTCGTTCGAGAAAAGGGCTATATTATAGAAATTATCTTTTGAGAGCACTACGAAATTTAATAGGGCAAGGAAGAACATAATGAAGATATTAAAATAGGAAAGAAAACGTAGAGTACTGAAACATTGCATATCAAAACGATAACCACGACGTTATGGGACTGGTTAATGGCGTCGCGTTGTCCCACAATTTACATGCAAATATCTCGATACGAGCTTAAGAAACCCCGTTTTAATGTTACATCTTCTGCAGACCACCGACAAAAGACTCAGGTAAATCAAATATTCGCCCCGAGCAATAATCTGGGACATTTATAAATTTACCGATAATGAGAACAGAAAAAAAAAAAATCGCAAACTCGTTTGAATGATCCGTAAAGTATCGAAACGCTGATAGGTATTTATTCTGTTTTTATATTGGCTTGCGATCGATCTGGTGTGCAATGACCCATATATAAACTTGCAGTTCCTTCGTAAATTCTTGCATCCTGAAACACAACGTTGCATCCTTTTTAATCATTCTGTAAAATTCTCACGCTAAAGCTTAGTAAAACTTGTTAAAAATGATAATAGACGCTACCATTCTGTGAGAAATAGCAAGAAATGTGACTACGTCACGGATCATATAAAATGATCTAGATAGGCGGTAAAAAAAGGACGACGTCAGCGCCATTAGTGACTAGATCACGGAAGGCGCGTGTAGCTTAACTTTTTTGGTGATATGGGAGGTGACCAGCCGGTCTTCGACGTTCTCATCGAGGTCGTTGTGCTTCCGAGGTTGAGTTCGACCGATACACCCTGTGTATTTCCACGAGAGCCGCTTTTGTGCTTGATACGAGCGAAAGCAATGCTCGAAAGCGCGATGTCAACGCGGCTGGTAATTCTCGTTGAATGAACAGTGGCTGAGATTATCTAAATTGGTAAATGTGATCGTCTCTGCGACGCAGACATCGATCAACGGGAATGACAGCTAGCAAATATGCAAACAAACTCACCGTCCGGTGTGAATGGCATGCATCCAACAAAGTGCACGCCGCTTTATACGACTTCCTTATTTTTTTCCGCGTGTTAAGCGGTCAAAGCCTTCAGAAGTTAAAAGATCCGTCTCCTGAACGGATGTGCGCGTTCGATCTGCGATTACTCGATCAGTTTAAAAGTTTATCGAGTCGTTCGATATCGTACGCTTACAATGTGGTGTTACAACGATCTCAGAGAACGAATTCATTGAGAATTTAAAAATCGAAACGAACGAGGTCCAATTCGACGAAAACAGAGTATGATCACTCAAATGATAGCATGCACTGTGAATTAAGGGGAGAGCTGTAATGTAAAGTAAAACATTTGAGAGGAGTTTGAGACTAAAATTGTATTTAATTTGTTTCAGATATTACTGAGAGATACCATGGCTTTCATTTGGTATATCGGAATTTTTGCAGCAATAGGTAAGTTAATATGCTGTGGCCCGGCGAATAAGGCAAATTAGATCAAAGAATTTCAATGTGTGTAATAAAGAACAAATATTTCAGTTATTGGACAAACATGGGCAGACTTGGCAGTTTCTACTCATGATTTAAAAGTACAACTAAAGTATACAGAGACATTTACATTGTACCTGACGTGAGTATCAAAGCATATTATACAGATCATAAAATAAATTCACACTTGCCAGTTGCATTTTAAAAATAATATAAAAAAACTCAAGGTAGACATATGTTTTTCATTTTACTTGTTTACCATATGGGATTATTTTTAGGAAAAGTTATATTACTACACAAAAGTGGAATAACATTGATAGCATTATATATAGTGATAAAAGATTAAAAGTAGTATTTATTTTATTATCTCTCAACCATACCTAATTAAGATAAACCTTCCTCATATTTTTTTATATCATGCATTAATGTGTTAACTGCATTGTTATAATTAATGTATGTATAAAAAACTTTCAATATAATTTTTACAGGGAAAATGTATCTACAGATGTATATGTGTTGATAAATGTGGAACACCCAGATTTGCTCTATGTTACTCCTAATAACACTATCATTAATAACAGCAAAAGTTGGGAGGAAGTAACTGTAGAGGGGAAGCATGCAGGACATTCAGTTGTTAGTGTTAATGTTACAAATAGTGTAATACCGTAAGTATACAAAAGAAATATTACCTTACTAGAAATTTAAGGAATAGTACAGATATTGCAATGAAATAGCATTTTAGAATAATCCATTTGACTAAAATGCTTTTAAAATATTTCTGAGATAAAACAAACAAGTACAAATGTAAGTTCAAGGAAACTAATCAGATCCCTTTCCCCTCTTTCCTACCTGATATCAAATGCAGTTAAGTAATGTTTTCTAACAATGTCAATATTTACTTCTATGACTAATTTCTGAAAGATCTTGATCAGTCTTATGTTCACCAGTATCCACTGCCAGTTATTTGCAGATAGCCTCCTGACCTGTACTTGTCATCGGATTTTATACTTAAAGTTCACTCAGTCTGTGCTCAGATTTTAAGCAGTCCACTTCCTGCTCTGGCTAGAATGTGTTCAATTAGTTACCAATAAGAAATGTATTAATTAATTTATTTCACAAGTTTTTTTTTTTACAAAAAAGTGATTTAGTGTAATTGTTCCTATAGTTCTATTGTGCACCAAACCATACATTGTGAGACTTAAAAACAATTAAAATATTATCAAAGTAATTACAGAATAATGACATTTTATAAAGTGATTTTGGTTCCTCAAGACCAGTTAAACAAAATTGATTTAAAGTAAGAAGTGATGGCAAAATTGTGTTTTTAATGGCAGTGTTTATGTTATAATATCCGTTTTACGGTCATAATAATCCTTTTTTTTTTTTATGGTTTCAGTTTTTCAGAAGCATTTGTCAGAGTTACTATAGAAAAGTCAGACACTCTTTATTATATAAGTGCTGTAGTAGGTTGGATATACTTTTTAGCATGGAGTGTAAGTTTCTATCCACAAATGTACATCAACTACAAACGGAAAAGTGTTATAGGATTAAATTTCGATTATTTATCGTTAAATCTGATCGGTTTTATTATGTACGCTCTATTTAACTGCGGTCTATTTTGGATATCAGATGTAGAGGTATGTTAAATGATAATCATAATTTATACGCTATTCGACTATATTATACATTAAACTGCAACTGCATTTTTTAGATCGAATATTTTAGACGACATCCGAAAGGTTTAAATCCTGTGCAAGTGAACGATATATTTTTCGCCTTGCACGCAGTAACTGCTACTGTGATAACTATTTTTCAATGCTTTATTTATGAGGTAAATAATCAAACTCGTTTCAATTTAACGTCTCGACTGTAGCGGCAATTTTATAGAATTAATAAAAAAAAATAAGTACCGACAGAATTATTAATTTTTCAGACAGGTACTCAGAGAGTATCGACAACCGCACGTATTATTCATGGAATATTTGCAATCATTGTATTATGTACTATAATACTAGCTGCAGTACATATACTGCATTGGCTTGATTTTCTGTACTATTGCAGTTATATAAAATTGTGTATAACATTAATCAAATATATTCCACAAGCATTTTATAATTATAAAAGAAAATCCACCGTTGGTTGGAGTATTGGCAATATATTTTTAGATTTTACTGGCGGTATTTTTTCAATGCTGCAGATGATATTGAATGCATACAATTACGGTAACGTATATACAATAAATATGCAATACAAATATGTCGAACTATTCTCCAATTACTAATAACAATCCTTTTATTAGATGATTGGGAAAGTATTTTTGGAGACCCATCGAAGTTCGGTCTGGGATTTTTTTCAGTCGCATTTGATATATTTTTCATTGTACAACATTACATTTTCTATCGGTACGTATATTTCCGCTCTTCCATTTATCATCTATCAATTCCCATTTAACAACGCTTGCTTCACATATCCACTGATTTATGAATAACACTTAGTCTTTTTTTGAAAATTTTTAATACTAATAATAGTAAGAAACGTTTCAGAAGTGCACGTTGCATGTTTTGGTGCATTATTTAATTGTCCATAGAAATTTTATACGTGAAAAGATTTGCCTAAAAGTAATTGTGTTGATGCATGTACAAAAAGATGAATTATCTGTATGTCGTTCGCAGTATGTTTAATTTCGATCTATTTAGTTAACATTCAGTTATGTTATAAAAAATTAAAATCGAAAACTTTTTAATATTTCTTTATGAAAATGATTTATAAAGTCAAAAATTTCAAATTTTAAATGGATTTGGAGGCTGATACGTATGTTTATATGTACAAACATGCGTACATAATTAAATTCTTCCAATGCCCTTGCTATTACAGATAGTTCTATGCACAAGATAGAGAAAAGTCTATACTTGACAGATTTACCAATGAAAAGATGATTGACCTCAAAAAGAAATTATAAACACATTGTCATTATCAGTCTTGCTTCCAAATCATCTCACTGCTATGTACTTTTTCCCCGTATTGCACATGCTTGCAAAAATCATAAATTCTTGCAGACAAGATACCCAGAATGCAACAAGCAATGAAACACTTCACAAACAAGAAAATTCATATCAAGAAGATAAAGGGACGATAGTGAAAGATACCTGTCGCTATTAATAAAACAGATAAAATATGTTAGGAATAAACTTGCAAAACTTCATTCCATTTTGAATGAAAATTCAGTATTGAGTATTTAAAACGTTTTAGTATATGCCTATTATCCTATTGTAATACGAAATTTACGTTTCATTTAAAATATTGACATGCACGAGTCACAATTGAGATTATTTTTACGATTGTTTAAATATCTAAATGAATCTCAGTTGGTTGTTAACTATAAATAAATAAAAGAGGATGAACCTAGATTAATAGGTGTACATACATGTAAGAGTTAAATCACCGTTTTTTTTTTTAAGTAGACTGACTAGTTTTGGTGCAATACTATAAAAATGTAAATTTTTCTTTTTTTTTATATCAAACAGTTAGTGAGGTAGATATGCGAATACGTTATTGTGCTAAATAATGTTGTAAATAAAGTACATAATTAGCGTCCCTGATGTTCAAGACAAAGCATGTTAGAGATGAAAAACAAGAGTGCACAATTAAGTGTTGCTTCAAGCTGAATAAACCACAATCCTAGTTAAGACTTTTTAAAACTTGAATTTTCTCAATTTACGTAAACGTGAAAGCTAGAGGTTCTACATTATGAGATAACCCACTGAATAACTAAGGGTATATTCGCTATGATCACGCACGAATATGTAATATCATTAAAAAATTGGTGACTATCCAACAATCCAATTGTATTCAATCTGGAGTTTTCTACTTTATTCAAATCGGGCGACAAGCTGCATTAAAAATCATATGGCGTTGTTGCATACATCCCGCGAATCTTAGTTGTACATCTCTGATCGAAAGTGTATTATTGCAGTATATAATATAATGCACATGGTGGTGGTATTATAGTGTTCGAGAATGATAATTAGTGCCTAATTTATAGTGCAGACCGTTGTTTCCTTCCTTTTTTTTTTTCTTTTGTACAAATAATGATACACGATTGTTCAAAATTTTGAACAGTTTGTACTTGTTCAAGATCCCACATTTATATATTTATATCGATGTTGTAATAAAAATTATCTGCATGTTTTTGTGCATTTTTACCTATCTGAATATTGACTTTTTATGATTCCATTATGTTTCACAATTTACTTTTCCGATATTCGTCATGGGGGGAAAAATCATACATTTTAACTGGTTTAAGTTAGCATATAAACAGTGTTTTTTGATGCTGCAATATCTATGCATGCAATGCGTATTGAAATCGTCTTTACACCATGGAACATGTCATTAAATACAAGATAATTCGTAATTGTTAATATGTACATATATGAATCATTGTAATTGTAATTTTATAAAGTTATAATAACTCTGCATCATAATGCAGACTGATGTGTAAAAGTAAAGTGTGTTATGAACAGAATTATATTCAGATTTTGAAATAAATTCTTGAATATTTTATAGCATATCCCACGAAGCCATTCAATTTTCAGATACTAGTTATCATCTTATCTTGGATGACAAAACGAAAGATAACCAGCTCTTTCACAAAGTTAAATGTTCTGATATAAAAAATTCCACTGAAATGATATCTTAACGATGTAATAACATTCGTACAAAATTTGTGTGATAGCATGGAGTAAATCAGTTGTTGTATGTGATCTTGTGCATGTGAATATATGTATGCGCGTGTGAGTGTGTGTGTGTATGTATAATTTACTAATAATACTAATTAAACTAACATTTTGCAATGATTGAGAATTCAGAATTTATAGTACAATTGATATTTAAACATAACTTCCCAATTCGCCATATGATTTAGAAGAAAATACCATGTATAATACATAGATTACCGAATACCTTTCTACAGGAATCGTGAAGAATACGTTGAAATACCTGGTAGCAATTGTGAGGACTGTAAAGAGGGCACATCAAGAAGCACGCTTGCTTGATTTTATATCGTTTTCTCCGAATGACTGCTTAGTTGTATTTATTACAATAAAGAACGATCTACCTATTCATCACTCATATACGAGAAAGAAACATCGATACCGCCATTGATGTCATAATGTCGAATTTTTATTCTCACCAAGCGGCTAAATGATATCCGTTGATAACAATGACCAGACCGTACGAATCCTAGAAACTGTATGCATATGTGCTGCAAAACACTTCATTATAATTGCTACAATATTATACACTTTGCACGCACAAATTACACGTAACGAGAACAAATTGTTCAAACTACCGTTGGATTTCTAATTTGAACGCTTATCGAAACTATCGAAAGTCGATACGACGAAGCACATATCGATTCGTCGCTGGTCATAGGATCACGTGACTTTTCTGAGCCTGTGCAGTATGTATCATTGGATAAGGTTATATTGTGTTGTCCAGTAGAGAGGTAAGTTAATTTTCTTTTGAATTTAATAGATATTTCCTTTAAACAGTACTCGAGTCTAATGATATTAACGTTTAGTTTTGCATTACGATGTCTATATATGTTTAAAATTCAAGAACTCGTATTTCAAACATAATTTCTCCGTATAACCTCTAAATATTCGAATGTTATTTAGCATGTTTGCATTAAAGTTTCGCTCCGACAACTTAATTGCTAACGGAGGAGGAACTTGTGTGTCCATAAATTTGTTCAACTGTATATTCGTGTTTCAGAATGAATGCGTCTCTGCTTTTGCGATCAACGCAGATCGCGCTATCCATTCGCAGAAATCTCAATTGCTGGACGGCTGCAATAACGAAGAAGCATAGAAAAATATATATGAGAACGTATCCTACACATCTTATTTTGTCAGATGGTAGTAGCATTAATATAGAATACGATGTTCCAAGAATGATAATCAAGCTTCCCCTCGATATGGATACTATTTCAGAAGAGCAACGTAAAATCAGGGTAGCAGCACGTAAACCCTTATCCAAAATAGAAGTACTCGAAGAGATAGATGATAACTTTGACGAATTTGAATATATTAGAATGAATAGTTGACAAAATTTAATAGGATAATATAGCTCTGTATATTTAACTTATAAATAGAAAATTTCTTCAATTTATATCTGTATTATTATTGATTCTTCCCATTGCTGTTGTGAAACAAGTTAATTTTTAATTTGTATTATTTTGTGTTTACATATAACCAATAATATCATCTTTTACTATTACAAAAGTAATCAAATATATCTACCTATAATATAGAAACTTTTCGGTGGAATTAAAAAATTTCAAATCGTTCCAAAAAAATTATTTTTAGCTAGGGGGGTCAGTTGCAATCAGTTTTGGTCATTAGACACACCCCCGAATTCCTACGCACTTTCGAGAAAAAAATTCCTCACCGAAAATATAATTTCTGGCCTGAAATGGTTCCCCGTTAAAAAATTATAACTCCTGAACGGATTGAAGGATTTTAATGTTTCAAACGGCAAACGACGCGTATTTTGGCGAAAAATATTTAGAAATTCTAAGAATGTTGGAAAAGTTGTTCCTTAACCCCGTAAAATGAGAAATCTCCACTTTATAAGGCTAGGCGCGTACGCAAACAGCACCGAAAGAAAGAATGGTATTAGCTAAGGGAAAATACAACGCTTCCTCGATCCTATTGTTGGGTATCACTTAACGATTGTTCGCGAAAGCGAGCCACAGTCCTTTCTATCGCGAGGAGAGGCAACCGGGTGCCCATTTTCGGTGCGGTGATATAATATTTGGTAATGCGTTGCTCGCGTGTAATTGTGCGGATGCTTTCATCGGTGGTGAAACTCCCCTGTTGCGACAGCCTGGGGAAAATTTACTGCCTCTCTTGAGCAACGATCTACAGCGGGCTTCAAAGCACAAGATACCAAAACAGAACAGGTATAGTTCAATGATTTTTAACCCGAGGTAAATAAACCAGGTGATTAATTTTTTATTTAAATTGATAAAAAAATGTAAAAATAGAGTTAGTAGAATACGCCATGGACTTCGACCTAAGTAGAAACAGTGGGTAGTGGACAGACACGCCAGAGCCATTGGTATTCAATCGCGCGCGCGCTCCAAAAATTTTCAGATTCGATTATCTCCAAAACGGTGCCACGTATGAAAAAATTCTATCCTCGACTTTCGCTTTGTTTTTTCATGTATTCGATCGTACCGTTCGAAAATTTACCACAAAACATAATTAAGTTAAGGAAATTCCTCCTTCGATCTCGCCTCGACACTTTCTTCCCGTTTCGAATCGTTCTCAGGGATGCAGGCTTTTCCCCAAGTTGCGCGGTACGTCGTATTTCCCGAAGTGATCGCGGGGGAGGGACGGCGATCGTCGGTAGACGCGACGTGTAAACAAAACCGTTCGCGAATGGCATGTAAAGAGTCGTGTGTGTGGCATGGTGGGAGTCAGTTCTGTTATAGTAGGCCACGAGGTAGCAGCTCTGGTGTTCCTGCAGGTGTAGCACGACGGACTCGAGACTAACTCTCTCTTAGTTACCGCTGGCGCGCCAGGCCTCTCGTTTTGCTGGAGTGCGCCGCTCCGTGGAAATCGAGCAATCGAGATCGCCTCGAAAGCGATCCGAGGACAATGAAAACGCGAATTCCGCGGAGAATCGCGTGAAATTCGTCGGCGAAGCCATTAAACTTCTCGGCAAATTTCGAATTCTACGCGTCGACACGTAGCCCCTATCGTCAGAGCGGATAGTACTCGCGATACTTCGTGGGCCTCGACATGGTGCAACGTCGTTCTCACAGCAACGTGCACGAATCGATAATGTGATCGTCCAGCGGACGCGCGGTTCGGATCATCGCGATCGACGAGTTTCGTGGACGCGTAGGACTCCTTCGAGGCAGCGTGCTCTTGCGATCGTCGATCGTCCCCGAGCGCCTCCCGAGCCTTTAGAAGGAGAAAGCAGCGAGAAGTTGAAGAGTTCAGCCAACTGAGAAACCGTATCCCTGCGACGCACACCTCAGAATTCGGCCTCGTTTCCAATGTTTGACGCGAGATTCATTTTTTTATTCTCTGCCCACACCGATCGCCGCGAGTCGCGAGCGGCTCGTTGATCCGTGACGATCGCGTGCGAGCACGATACGTTTCCAAGCGAGACTTCGCCAACCAGAGGATAACCGGGGAACGCGAGATCCAACCCCCCCCCCCGAAGGACGAGGAGGAGAGATCGACGGAACGATAGAATCGACTCGTTTCGATCGATCGTCCCTTCTTTTTAACCTCGCGGTTCGTTCGTCGCCGGGAGAATGAAAGCACGCTGACCTTTGAACGCTTCGAAGGATGGAATTTTGAGAAGAGGAACTCGTGTTATTCGGCTGATCCACGAACCGTGAAATGATTGGCAAACTTCTCTTGAGCTTTTGGATACTCGGATGGATCAGCCTCTACGGTATGCTCCTTACGTTATTTACTCGAGTCTTTTTTTATAAAAACGATTTTAATGTCAACGGATACAATGGCAAATACACTCGTTATTTTTGTTTCATTTTTTGTTACGAGTCGTTTTCTCGTCACAGTGTGACCGATCGAAGTTAATTAAATATTTCAGCAACGAACAGGGTTAACGCCTGAAACATTTGCCTGACTTACTTCGAAGATCCGCAAACCTTCTTCATTCTCGCTGCGTACAGTTCGTAAATTCCGTTGTATGAACCGTTAACGAATCGGGGACAATTATTTAATCGTGTAATCGGACGCTGAGGTCACCGACGGCGTCGCCTTAAATTTTAAGCGTGTTTCTTAATGCCTGTCCGGCTTCGCTTGGTCCTCGAGGCGAAATGGGCTCTGCGAGATAAATCTTCGCACATTGTCGAAAGTAACGATCAAAACGTTTCGATATTCTCAATGTTAAAGTCAGATTTAACTCTAGAAGAGGTAAGAGTTGTCTTAAGGGTAGTTTTGAGGTCCCATTGCTTCCTTAGATTTCAATAACATAATTTTTAAAACGATCCTAGATCCTAGATAATTCCGCCACTGTGTACACGCAGCGTAGGAATACGTCGCGCGTATATACATGCACGTAAGCTTTTTGTTGTGCCCGTGGCCGTGAAACTGTAACCAGTTACTTTCCTCGGCCTTAAAAGAGCAATACTAATCGCCGTTGTTCCCGTGTATTTACATGCATACGTGGAAAAGAGGTAATTAAAAATGACGGATGGCCCCGGGAACATTTATAGAAAATGTTCTCGGCGCGTCGGTGATTCAAAATTGTACTATCAGGTACCTACCAACGAACCAGAAGCTAGGAACTATACCTCTAATTAATAAAACATATTTCCACTCTTAACATATTCTCTAAATTATTCGAGAAAATTACTCGAGAAAATTACTCTGGAAAATTGATACATTAATTCAATACTTTACTACTAATTTAACACATCAAGCGTTAAATTGTTTTCTACAAAATTGATATTTCACACTGGGAAATGTTTTATTAAATGCGGAAGTTGTTTATGCGTAATAGACAAACAATTTATGTCACGAATGGATTAATAATTATACAATATTTATATGATTGTTACATCCATCCTGTCGTACCTAATGAAATGCTCTTCGTTAGTATCGAAATGATAATTAATACCGATGCGTGGGACGTTAATAGAACTCCGGTGGAATTCTCGCGACGAGAAAACGATCTGCGTGCTCGAGATTCCGTCTTTAATTGCTTCCGCCGATAATTAATTCGACGCGTTTTCACGCAGAATCTACTCTACATATCAAAACAATGAAAATGATCCGTGCAAACGATTCGGAAACGCTTTCTTTTTCAGTTGCAGCCTACTTTCGACCGCCGTAGGTTTTCGTTATACCAACTGCGTATTTTGGGCACGAAAAATCGTCAACGACCGAACGTTTACCATCGCGCGTGCAAACTACAAACGTCGACATTATAATAATTAGCGCGACGATAGAATTCAGGGATCCATTTCGACGTTTCCTTGTAAAACTGACACGCTTAGTTTACATTTTATCGCAAACTGTCGTTGCATTTCATTTGAATCGTTGATGAAACCTTTGACATTCGTATGCGTTTCCGGCATTTTCCACGTGGTATTCAAAATCATGCAGAGTACTTCTACGAATTTTTAATATATAAATATTTGTGACTCAGTCCATATTTTTAAGTATCGTTTGACGAACTGCTTCGATTAATATTTTTCTAATCGAACAATACGCGTCGATGTTTCTCGACGCGGATCCGGTTCATCAACTGACTCACGACGGATCTGACCTTTTTTCGCCCAGAATTCTACGATTCGTTCGCCTTTCTCCGTGTGCGTAATTTCTCTCGGCGAAGGAGGATCGACGGCACGATCACGCGTCCCAAAATGGTCGCCCGCTTTCGATCGGCCCGCGTACGGGAGACCAAATTTCGTCTTCGAGCTATCGAGCTCACGCTAAAACGATACGTCGATATTCGAACGCCTTAAAATAATTTTATTACTCGAAAACGATAGCCTCGATCCTTTCACTGTGAATGAAGACTTTGAAGACGAAAAAGAACCATCAATCTTGTATAATTACTGCCGATCTATCGAGAAGGCTTCAACTCAGTTTTACTTCCTCTTCAGTTATTTCGCTAATAGCTAATTCTGAAATCTAGAGGCGAATCTCTGTTTGGTCGATCAATTAGAAAGCTAGTCGATACGTTCGAAGAGAGTACCGCGACCGCCACGATAGACCAACGACGAAATAGCTGTATGCGCTCATCGAGGTGCAAAGTAATTTTGAAATACCGTTCCACAGCCAGCCAGGGACAACGAGCTATTTCCCTTTTCCGTCGTTGCGCGTCTCGGACATAATTGCACGGCGTTCTCGTGGTTTCTTTCTGTCGTTGATTTCGGTGTCGTCGCAGTCAGCCGGCTGGAAACGCGACGCGTTGCTGCAACAACAGCAAAAACACTAATCGCGGGCTCCATTCGCGATTATGCACACCGATGGACGGGAACGAAACGTGAGAAGGAATCGAGCTAACCGACCATTTCCCAACCCTTTTCTTTTCGGAAAAGATACATCGAATAAAGAAAATTCTGTTGGGAAACGCCAGCTCGAGGCTTCGAGTTAATTTTAAATGGCGGTCAACGCGCGAACGTGTCCTCTTCGCTTTTCTTGCATCACGCTGTGTTTACGCGCATTCTTTCCTATGATGTAACAGAGACGTATGTATTTTTAGAATTATTATTAATTAGACGCGGTTCCGGGAGAAGAGAAAATCGACGCCTGACGCGTAATCTATGCAACGTCAAGGCTTCAGCCTACGCTTCTTTCGAGATCAATGACACTGGTATTATTCACCGCGCAACGAGATTCGAATTGCGTCAGTTGCGCGGACCCAGTGAAGTAAACGATGATGCTTCGACGGCGGAACGATCGGGTGTCTTCCTTGAAACCTGGCTACGAAATCTCGTCATGGTCTTAACAACTTCCGCAGAGTAGAGGATAACGTTCGAAAATGGCTATTTACGGTACCCATCCAGGCAGAGTATTTGCATAACGATCGTCTTCTTATTCGCAACCAGATAATCGTATCTGAAACACGTAGCCTGTTAATTTTTTTAATATTTATTTTTGTGCATCGCATCGATAGGCTCGAGCATTTTTTTGGGGGAGATAATTGAAGAAGTTCAAGGAACTCTGATTACAACTTTCATTTTTCTCGACGATTTGACCTATATTTTTTCTTTCGTGCAAAAATCGAGAGATATCTGCTGGTGGGATTGCGACACACGAAATGACTCTGAAAGATAGCAAAACGTTTGGAATTTAAATGTTTTCACGTCACTAGGTTTCCGACGATTTCGTGGAAAAAGAAGGAACATTAGGAGCAACGATTGAAACGTTGTTCTAATCACTCAGCACCGGTGTGGCTTAACACACTTTCGCACAATGTGTGAAAGGCCAAGGAGACAGTAAGAGATAGCCGCCAGAAGCAATATCTCGAGCGAAACTATCGGCGAATTATGGTCGAAACTACGTGGATCGTTCGACTGTAACTGATACCAGAGATGAAACAAAAGATAAAGAATATAACATACACGTGATAAACTGTTTATCCGTTGCTCGAGAAATAGAACTAAAAATTTCTATTGTGGAATATTTCACGATTAAATTGTTACGCGTTGGTTTTGTTCGATTTGTCAAAGTGATTAGGACGTAACTGTGTTTATACGTACACATGCGTTATATAAATGCATATATGCATGCAGATTAGTGAACATCTTTCGAGAATCATCGATTTCACCCGCCGCAACAGTTCTTCCGTATACGTGACCTGAATCAGCTGACGAGAACGTATAATATTTAAATGCGCCATGTCCGTGGTATCTAAATAGCGTAAATTTGAATGTTTCCCGATTTTAAAACGACTAATATTCGAAACTCGAACGTTCAAAGAATTCAATAACGATGTACGAACAGTATTCAGATATTGATGATTTGCTCGATTAATTTGTAATGTAGGAGTTTTTTGAATATTGAATTATTCGAATACCACACCCTCTAGTGTGACGCATCCACGCGTGCACGGATGATCGTAGGTAGAGGTCGAGAATTTCTAGAGCCGAAGTTAGTACTTAGCCACTTTCTCCTACGAACGCAGTCCGTTTCCTTTTTCCATTCTCGTCACGAATCCTCTCCGCCGTCTAAGAGCAATCCGAACTGCATTGCAGGCGATCGTTTGTCTAGGTAATTAATTCTCGAGACTCAACGCCGTTTGTTTTGCAACGATAAATCCGAACGATCTTGTTCGCCGCTTTGCGAATTATTTTTCAAACGATTCTTGAAATGTCTCGGGCGTCGCGTCGATATTTACGAGATTTTCCACGTGGCGAAATGAAATTTATTTAGATTTAAATAGAATATTTAGGTAACGCTACTTTTTAATTTTTTGAAAGGTGCATCGGTGTAAATTAGATTATTGTCAACAGTTGCGAAGAAACATGTTCACAAACGCGATGAGATTATTCATTCTAAATATTCCAACGTGCTGATATTGAATTTGCCACGTAACGGCGGGAATCTACCAGGGATTACGACTATTCTGAATGGAAAATTAAATATACGATGCTTAGAAAGTACAAAACATATGTTTAAGTAACACATGCACGTAATATTTAAACTATTCGACTTGCACTTAAATCCGTCGGTCGAGCTAATAATACGCTGCAGAAACCAAAATAATACGCGTGGATAAGTAAATAACAGCATCAATAAAATAATTACAGTTTAGATGCGATTATTTGGTCACTATTTATTGCTAAAAGTGTGAATAACGCGTGACAAATAATTATAGGGATCGATACTACTTTCGTATAATTATCTTTGGGGCATTTCGAATATCTCATAAATTGAAATATTAATTTGCGTTCGATATGGAAAGGATCATACGTT